TATCGTAACAATGTGTTTGCCGGACGACCCATAGTTCATACGGGTATTTATTTAATTAATTAATTAATAATAATAATTTATATATTTATTTTTTTAAATCAAAGAGTTTACCCGTCCATCGGATGACAAAATCGGTATATTGTTTACAGATTACGGTGAGGCATATAAATCGCTAAAACGTGTTGGACTGACAGCCATTAAGTACAACCCAGATTTTAAATAGTTTTTTTAAATATTAAAATTTTAAAGTTTATTACAGTATTTATAATAATGTATACAACAATATTAATATATAAATATATATATATACATGTATATAAGTTATATATATTTTGATATATTTATATTTATTTTTTTTAAAAAAAGCAAATTTGCTGGTAATGACCGACTAGTAGATGTGGTGGTCGACTGTGTGGACAGTATGGTTGAAACAATAGTGAAGAGGGAGGGCATTGACAAACCATTTGTACCCAACGAATATATATCAATGATATTTCTCAATATACTATCATCGTGTGCCTGGGGTCAAAGGTAAGTAATAATAATAATAATATTAATAAACAATTTTATTATTATTAATCAAAACCTATATTTATATATTATAGATGTAAAGTACTTAAAATAAAATTCTCTCTCTCTCTCTCTCTCTCTCTCTCTCTCTCTCTCTCTCTCTCTCTCTCTCTCTCTCTCTCTCTCTCTCTCTCTCTCTCTCTCTCTCTCTCTCTCTCTCTCTCTCTCTCTCTCTCTCTCTCTCTCTCTCTCTCTCTCTCTCTCTCTCTCTCTCTCTCTCTCTCTCTCTATCTCTCTCTAACAAACACTCACACACACACACACATACAAACTCACATTGTATTAATAATATTATTTATTTCAACAAAAAAAAAATAAAAATAAAATAATATTTTATATTATTATAAAAAAAATAAAAATAATTCAAACACTGTTTTATTATTATTATTAATATTATTATTAGTAATAATACTAATAATAATATTAACTAATAATAATATTTTGTTGTTGTTTAGTTACAATTTTGATGACCCGGAGCTGAAACTGATGCGCTATTTTATACATGATTTTGCATTAGAAACCAATGATAAACTAAAACAATGGGAAGGCTCGGCATTGTTTAGATTTCTAGATCGCAAACTAATTGCTAAACAATTGCAGACAATGTCTGATCATCAAAATTTGATGATTGAAAAGTTTGTCAATCATTATATAGATTATAATCAGGAAATTGATAGGGATTTTTGCGACGCCTTTATATCGGCCAAAAACGATGCCATCAATAGTGGCGGCAAAGCTGGTGGCGGTAGTGGTGCAGGTGCGGCCCAATATCTAACCGATGCCAATCTGACCATGTCCATTTACGATATGTTTATTGCCGGTGCCGAAGGTACCGAAATGACATTCCGATGGCTGACATTGTTTATGGCATACTATCCGGCGATGCAGTCCAGGTTACGACAGGAAGTGGATACAGTTATCGGCGACCGATTGCCCAGACATGAGGACAAACACCAGTGTCACTATACGATGGCATTCATATCGGAAATACTCAGATATAGGACTATTGTATCGGACGGTGAACTGCATAAAGTCAGGGCCGACAACACAAAACTTGGTTTGTATTTTATATTTAGTTTAAAAAAAAACTTATAATTATTTATAATAATAATAATTTATAATTATTTATAATAATAATAATTTATAATAATTTATAATAATAATAATTTATAATTATTTATAATAATAATAATTTATAATTATTTATAATAATAATAATTTATAATTATTTATAATAATAATAATTTATAATTATTTATAATAATAATAATTTATAATTATTTATAATAATAATAATTTATAATTATTATTATAATAATAACTTATAATTATTATTATAATAATAACTTATAATTAATATATAATAACAACTTATAATTAATATATAATAACAACTTATAATTTTTATTATACTAATAATAACTTATAATTATAATCGTATGCATAAACTTTTTTTTCTGTATATTTTATTAAATTTTTTTTTAAAATTGATTTTTATTAAAACAAAAAAAATTTTGTTTATTATACTTAATATATATATATATATTAAATTTTTTTAGGCAACCATATCATACCCAAAGATACTATAGTACGTGTCTATCAGGGAATAGTCATGAAAAACGATGATACAAACTACTGGACCCGGGGTCTGGATTTCCTACCCGAACGTTTTCTGGATCCGCTGGACGGCCACTATCGTAAACCGTCGCCGGCCTACAATCCGTTTGGTTCGGGTGCCCGCAAATGTGTGGGCGAACGGTTCGCTTACGCCGAAATTTTTCTGGTTTTAGTCCGTCTATTGCAACGAACCAATCGCTACGATATAGTATTGGACAGCAATGATGGGGTCGGCATTAATCCGGCTATCAATGACTTTTGTGTACCGTTTGATTTTGCTATTAGATTCAGACACAAAAAATTAATTAATTAATTAATTAATTAATTAAAAATCTTAATAATTTTTGTTATTGTTGTTGACGAAAAAAATTAATAATAATAATAAAATCATTTATATTCTTTTAAATTACATTTATTAATAATTAAATATTTTTATTATTATTGTTAATAAACTACAAAACAGTATACAAATTATTATTATTATTAAAATGATTTGATTTGTTTTTTTTGTTTTGACTAAAAATTATTTTAATTTATGACATCCTAATAATACATTTTAATATTTTTTAAAAAACTAATTGAAAAAAATAATTAAATCAAATAATTCAAACAATGCCAGCATTTTTTGCCAATGAATAAAATTGGGATGAAATGTTTGACAGGAGAACTGTTGGCGATTCAAACTCTACTACCCGTCCATCGGATAGGACTAACACACGATCGGAATCAAGTATAGTGTTTAGTCTGTGAGCAATGGTTAGTACAGTACAGTTGGCAAACTCTGTCCTAATAGTTGTTTGTATGAGTGTATCGGTCTCAACATCGACGGCAGCCGTGGCCTCATCAAGTATAAGGACAGTTGTGTGTCTTAGTAAAGCCCGGGCCAAACAAATGAGTTGTCTCTGACCTACGCTTAGGTTATCTCCGCCTTCATTGACTGGAAAGTCGAGTCCCGATTTGTCGGACAAAACATATTGTTTGAGATGTGATCGCTCTAAGGCTGTCCACAACTCTGAGTCCGAGTGCCGATCAAATGGATCTAAATTTGAGCGAACAGTGCCGGCAAACAGTACCGGTTCTTGTGGTATAATTGTTAGACCAGAGCGCAGATCCTATTTTTTATTTAAAGAAAAATAACAATTACTTTATTTACTATAATTGCTTTAATTACTATATATGTACTGTATTACATGTAAACCCAATTGACTGATATCTATGCCGTCGATCACTATTTTGCCGCCGACTGACTCTATTATACGAAATAATCCTAAACTCAGTGACGACTTTCCCGAACCCGTTCGGCCAACGATTCCGATCTTAAATAATAGTAATTTTAAAAGTTATTAATTATATATTAAAATTAGTATTAAAAAAATAATACTTTTTCTTTGGTATTGATTTTAATCTTAATCTGTTTGAGTACTAAATCCAATCCTTCACGATATCGGGTACTATAGTCGACAAACTCTATACATCCCGTTTTTGGCCATTTATTGCCGACAACAGTGCTAACAGCCGACGACTGGTCGGCACTACTAGAATGCCAGTCGGCTTCCGGTTTCAGTGCCGAGTATTCGTCCACTCGTTCGACGGAAACCATATTGTTTTCCATTATTGCCGTCAAACTGATAAACGTATTGACAGAGCCGGCAATTTCGGTCACATAGTTTAGTATAAGACCAACTGAGCCGCCGTTTAGTCTGCCTTTTGCCAGTACTGCAAACAGTGCGGCAAAAAACATGAACAATGATGTAATCGTTTCCAACCGTAAGATAACCCAACTCAACGACATAGCACTCGGATAGAGACACCTTTGGTTTGTATCTATACGGGCGTCCAATTCACGAACAACTCTATCCTGGCAGCCGTACGCCCGGATACTTGATATGCCGGCCAGTGTTTCGCTAAAATGATTGTAAATGAAAGACCGAGTGACCGATTCAAGTCTGTATAATAATATAAACCATTTTTTTTTGCAAATAACAAAAAAATTATTAAAATACTTAATAAAATGCATTTATATATATATTAAATAATAACAAAACAAACCGTTTTAATTGTCGTGAAGTTCTTATATAATATTTCTATAATAAAAATAATAAATAAATAATATTTTTTTTAATTAATTATTTAATAAAAATTATAATTAAAAAAAATTGTGTTTAATTTACCTGAATTAGTAGAAATAAAATTATCAAAAAAATAACTACCGGTAAAAATACTGGCATTTTAATGCTCACTATTACTATTGTGTTGACAATTAATAACATTGCATTCAACCACAAACTATTAAATTAAAAAATTAAATAATTACATTAATAATTTTATAATTAAAATAGTATAACTTTATTTTTTATTAAGTACTAAATTTATAGATAAATTAATAATTTTTTTAAAAAATAATGTTAACCTTAGATTCTGTATCATTTGAGTGTCCAAAACGTCTATATCTTTGCTAAACCGGTTGAATATACGGCCCAATGGTGTCGTATCAAAGAAACTCATCGGCGAGTGTAGTATTGATGACATTAGACGCCGATGCCATCGTTTGGCGGCCAATACTACACCGAAAATAATTGATAAAAATGTGATCTCAATAAATACAACGTTCCCCAAACCGATGACCGCATAAATTGCAAAATAATATGTATTTTTATTGGTATCGGTGTCTGAACTCCAGTCGCTTAACCAGAATTTTGCCGCCGAATCAAAGCCAATGCCAATCATATTAAACATAACTATCAATAGTGTAAACAATATTGACATTGATTTGATATATTTGATGTAAACCTAAATATATACAGTATAATAGTTTATTTTATTATAATTATTTATTTTTATTTTCTTTAATATATTTGTCTTATAATAAATTTTTGTTTTTCAATAATAATTATTTAAAATATTTATTAATTAGTAATTACACAATTATTTTTTGATCAATTTTTTTGTACATTACTAACCATTAAATTGATAAATATACTTTATTTTTTAGTGTATAAAATATCGATTTATGTATATTTTATGCCAGTATAATCAAAAATATATTAATGCAAATTAATTTTTTGAGTATATATATACTGTATATATTATATATATAAAGTTTATAAACTTTAAACATAGAAAAAATGATACAAAGATTTTGTGACATAAGATTACTATAAACTAAAAGACAAAAAATAATATTTGATAATAAAAATCTCAACAAAAAATTTTAATATTAATAATTGAAAACTGTTTCAATTTATTTTTGAAATAAAAGTAATATATTTTTTGCTCTGTTTTGATGACATTACTATATTAATGTATACATATATATACTGTATATAACAATTTGATACATACATTGAATTTGATTTTTCCTGTTTCAGCCGTTTCCTCGTCAATCAATACTGCATTACTACTACCACTATTGGTATCACTACTACTACTACTACTACTACTATCAGAGGAACCGTTACTACTGTTGTCGACAGTTATCAACATATCATCTGTTGTTTGTAAATTGATTTTCCGTTTTCTAACTAATCCTTTATCTGTTGTTTCATTTAAGTCACTGCTATTACTGTCATTGTTGTCGATAACTGCGGATTGTCTGCAAACTTCACGAAACTCTTCGTCCGATTTCAGTAATTCATTATAAGTACCGATTGTATGTATTTTACCGTTTTTCAAGACAACTATCTGATCAACGAATGGCAATACAAACAATTGATTTGTAACCATAATTCGGGTCTTATTTCTCAATAAACCGGTTTCCGAGTGAAGCACTTCACCCATAATATGTTGTCCCACATGACTGTCAACTATTTTATTTTATTTGTTTTTTTTAGTTGAAAAAATTATTATTAAAAAATTTTACTAATAATAATATATGTTTTCTAAATAATAATATATTATATTTTTTTTAAATACCTGCCGAAAGTGGGTCATCGAGTAGATAGATATCGGCTTCACTATAGACAGCTCGGGCTAAACTAACCCTTTGTTTTTGACCTCCGCTCAGATTAATACCCTTTTCACCGATTTCTGTCTCGTCTCCGGCGGACAGTTGTCTCAGATCATCACTGAGTGCACAGCTATTGACAACCTGTTTGTAAAACACTGGATCGTTGTCTTTGCAAAACAATATATTATCTTTGAGTGTCTTATTGATAATCCAGGGCTGTTGCGGAACATAGGCTATACTAACGCCGTTTCTAATGTTAACACTACCGGACAGTCTGTTCATTTCGCCTAACAGTGCCGCCAGTAGCGAACTTTTTGCTGATCCAACTTTGCCGATAATTGCCACAAACATACCGTCAGTTATTTTCAAATTTATATCATTCAAACATTTTTGTGGAACAGTAGATAAAATTGTATTAGTGGTGGTGTCGGAAGTATTATTATTATTATAATTGTTAGCATTTCCATCTCTAATAGATTGTCGTGTTTTACTACTACTACTACTACTACTACTACTCCACGCAAAACTGGCGTTATCTATACAAACCACGTGATCGTTATCCGCATTATTTGTCAAATAGTTATTAATTTCGGATAAATTAAAAAACTTATTCAAACGTTTTGCAGAAATTATAACCTATTAATTAAGGGGTTTTTTAAATAAAAAAATTAATTAAAAAGTTGTAAAAAAACAAATATTAATAAATTATTAATTTTATAGACTATTACTAATATTAATCGGCTAATATTGGACGGTATGTTTTGTAGGGCCGACTGAATGCTGCGCAACAATACTATCGACACAAACAGTTTCTGGGCGGACATTGTTGCCGACGTATTAATGGCAATGAATATACCGAAAGTAGTTAGTGATGTAAAAAATGTTAGACTATTTGCCGTAAATATTAATAACGAACTCCAATAACCGGCTTTTCGTAAATTTTGTAACTCTTTTGACCGCAATTTCTCAATCTTTTCGATGAACGCCTCCTCCCAGGCGTACAACTATTGAAAACGAGAGGTTTTTTTTAAAAAAAAGATTTAAAAAAATATTATAAATATTAATTTTGTAATTTAAAAAAAAAACAGATAAAATAAAAATCAATAAATACTTTTAAAACTTTGATACCATTGAGTACATCATTAATAACTGTTTGTCGATTGTCTTTCAATTTGATTTGATCTGTTGTTATACTATCTATACGTTTGATAACATAGGCATTGAATACCAATGCTATTAATAGCAATACTATTGCCGATATCATTGCTAAACCCATTTCATTGTATAGTAAATACAATTGTATGCCTATCCGGACGCATATCATCCACAGTTGATTAATATTGGGTAGCATTTCTAAATATATTATT